ATCGAGGAGAGCTGCGTGTGGCGCAGGAGGCCGTGAGGAAAGCATCCGGCGTAAAGAAGCCCCCAACCCAGACCCCCGGGCCCGCCTACAGTAAGAACCAGAACCTCCAGACCTATAAACCCACCTACTGTAAAAACCAGAACCTCCTGACCCATAAACCCATCTACAGTAAGAACCAGAACCCCCAGATCGATAAACCAATCCAGAGTAAGAACCAGAACCCCCAGACCCATAAACCAACCTATTGTAAGAACCAGAACCCCCAGACCCATAAACCAACCTACAATAAGAACCAGAACCCCCAGATCGATAAACCAATCCAGAGTAAGAACCAGAACCCCCAGACCCATAAACCAACCTACAGTTAGAACCAGAACCCCCAGAACCTACAGACCCCCCAGACCCTTAAACCCACCTACAGTAAGAACCAGAACCTCCAGAGCCCCCAGACCTCTAAGTCTTCTTACAGTAAGAACCAGAGCCCCCAAAACCAGAACCAGACTGGCCAGACCATCATGATTTTAGAATTAGTGAAAGCATAAAAAAAACTCTTGTGTGTTGGTGACTAACAGCGTGTTTCTGTCCTGACCACATGACTGTGTCCTTCAGCCTGTGCCAACTGCAGCGGCCTCTCTGCTCTGGGACACAGACTCTCCTCTCTCGAGACCAAGGTAAGTCACATCATAACACTTCATGTTTATCACACAAGGAATACACTCATGTCAGTTTACCAAAGCCACCACCAGACATGACTCTGCTCAACATTGTGGAGGAACAAAAACCACACTAAAGGAGGTAAACAACAATGAACAGAACAAAACCAGGACTAAACAGGGACTAAACCAGGACTCAGGGTGTGCAGCCTGTGCTCTTACTGATGTAAAAAAGTCACACTTTTGTAAAAGTACACACATAACTGAACCTGTGTGGCCAGAGTCTTAACCTGCAGATAGAGACACCTACACTGTTTTTTATCAGTACAATATATGGGCAGATTGTTCCTAGTGAAAGTGAATGACTGTGTGCTCGTGCTGGGGTTTATGCAGTGACCATTCAGATCAGAGAGAGCCTTTTTAGGTTTGAACTACATTCCAGCATTGAAGTTCATTCTGTTTTCTGATTGGATGATCATCCTGAGAACCAAAACAACAAATTATAACAACATGACCTTCAAACTTTAATTTCAGATCCAGCTGCTGACATCCTCTGGGTCTTCGTCACATCGCCCCCTTCAGGTTAAAGGAGGTGTGTCTCTGATGGGGGCAGTGCCGTCACAGGGAGCTCCTGGAGAGCAAGGCCCAGCTGGTAAATACAAACTCCCACTTTCAATCAAATGTTTCTATCAACTCATATTAAATGTACAGTGTCTGTAGTGACACCACTGGACCTCGAATATCCACAAGTGCAACTGGGCACAGGTAAGGAAGGGCATCTGAATTATGTCCACTCTAACTCAAGATGATGGATCAACTAGTCCGGGGTCTGATACCAGACCAGTTACACAGTTCCTTACAAATCCTGCCCCTCTTCCTCCCTCTTGCTCCCCTTCAGTCCTCCAGACCCCCGCCCTCACTCTCCCTTCTAGTCCACCAGACCCCCCGTCACTCTCCCCTTTAGTCCTCCAGACCCCATCACTCATCTCCCCTTTAGTCCTCCAGACCCTGCCCCTCATCTCCCCTTTAGTCCACCAGACCCCGCGCCTCAACTCCCCTTTAGTCCACCAGACACCCTGTCACTCTCCCCTCTAGTCCTCAAGACCCTGCCCCTCAACTCCCCTTTAGTCCTCCAGACCCTGCCCCTCATCTCCCCTTTAGTCCACCAGACCCCGCACCTCAACTCCCCTTTAGTCCACCAGACCCCCCGTCACTCTCCCCTCTAGTCCTCAAGACCCCACCCCTCAACTCCCCTTTAGTCCTCCAGATACTGTTCAGTTTAGCAGCTCAGTTTGACATGTGTATGTGGGAGGAGTTTACTTACTGCGTTGCTTATAAACTACACAGGAAAATTTGGCCGACATCCTGAGTTGTGTGACTGTTCTCTTTCAGGTCCTCAGGGGGAGAAGGGCAGAGATGGACTTCCTGGCAGAGATGGTAATGCCCCCTCCTCTTTGGCTCTTTAGGATAAGGTCTGTATGCTGACTGTATGTGTCCTCTCTCAGGGACACCAGGCTCTAGGGGGCCAGCCGGCCCCATGGGGCCTCGAGGGGACGCAGGGACGAGGGGCCCGTCTGGAAGCCCAGGGGCCCGGGGCCCGGCTGGACCAGCAGGTAACACCCAAGACACACTCACACTGCTCCTCACCCACAATACCAGAAAGTGTATATCCATGTCACCATGTCTGGAACCATCCATGTCTGGAACCAGGAAGTTTGTATTAGTGCCATTTTTGTCTTTTCTGGTTCAGAAGTTTTCAGGATTACAAATGGACAATTATTACATTCAGAAACTTCATGAATTAAATTAGACATTTTCCCAGGGTATAGTAGTACCAGTTAACCCTTAAGGCACACAGTGTTCCCTGCAGCAGAGACTGCAGGCTCTAGAGGACAGACAGAATGAAATAAATCTAATTAATACTGTGAATTATTTATTTGAGGTTTGGCTGAGCCACCATACCTTTATTTAAGTTTGAAATCTGAACATCAGGTCTGTGTGCACTGTAATGTTTTTCCCTCCATCTCCAGAAAGACCTCTTTTGTATTTAACCTTAAATCTATGTTTTACCTTTGGAGGGTTTTATGTGTCTCTTACACATGCACATGTACTGGTCTTTTTTGGCTCCGTTTGGATCAGAGCTTTTGTTTCTGTCTCCATCTTAAGCCTGTGTTCTCAGTGCTTTGGGGAGCTCCATCAGTATTTTATGGTGTCTGTAACAAGCCCAGTGTTTGTCAGAGGTAAAGACACCATCAGCTTTTGTGTCAGAACAAGAGGCCTTATACCAGCAGTGTGTGTGCATGGGGACTTATAACACTGTGGGGCCTAAAGTCTCCCATCACAAAGATCAACAGCATAGTTTAAAGTTCAGACACGACCGGGTTGAGATAGGTTAAGGTTAGACAGTAGTGACAGTATGTTTTGTTTTGTTTTTTAGCTTTGTACCATGGTTCCTTCATCACAAACATGCCTGAAGAGGATTTATATGTCATCCATGCATGTTTGAGTAATCTAGTGATCTCTTGTACGCCCTATTCAAACCTTTCTTATGGTTAGCAATACGAGTCTGTACAAGGCTCCTCCCATAAGCCTACATCACTCATTCTCCCACACGACAATTTTCCATAAATACACAAACACATGATACAAAACTGTACACAGCAACTTGGCAAACGTGAAGTGATGTGCAGGAGTTTCATTAGTGGGATGCTGTTTGGATGGTGATAAAGCTCTGAAGGGGGAGTCTTAGTGCATCAAAAACAAAGTTGTAACACGGTGCTATGTGTTACAGTTAACACCCCATGGAAGTATAAAACCCCGCAGCTTTAAAACAGCTTATTTAAACTGAGAAGTGAAACAGTGTGGACCACATTTGCACAGAAAATCAGCTCTCATCCCAAAGTTTCAGATAGTGACTCCCCTCGAGTTTATGCAAGGCTCAGAATGGATTTATTCAGACAGGAGGAGTCTTCACATGCAAATTAGCCTCACAATGCCAACTCATGCTTTCAGAACTATAGAGTAGAAAATATGAAAACTTAAATTAACCCTCTTTAAATATGGTCTTTCATGTATAAATAAAATAATATAAAGAATAAATAAAGTATACTTTCGCTAGACACTTAATTACACAATAAAACAGTAGAAAATGTACCTCACTGGCCACATGACTCAAAGAGAATAAAATACACATCTTCGAATGTTCTCTTGAGGAAACTTAAACTTCAATTGCAATAGACCTTTTTCACAACAGCCGGAAGTGCCCCGCTGTAGGTTTATGGAACTTCTGGTTAATTGTTTTCTATAATGAAATATTTGTGTAAATGTCTCATGTATTTTCCAGCAGCTTCATAAATCTGCCCCATCGCCAAATCTTCAACCAACAAGGTCCACAAAGGATAAACATTCTAACATGAACAATTATTCTCAACTATCAAGGAAAGAAAGACGAAAATTTAAAGGAGAACAACAACAACGCATTAGTGAACTACTCCTGAGCAAAAGTAACGCTATGGTCATGAATAAAACAAAGTACTGTATTTTCTGGGCTATAGGTCACACTCTTAAGCCTCCAACCGTATAAAAAACGACTGCGCGCCCCACAATCCAGAGCGCCCTATACACGAATCCACTCAGATGTCCCAGCACGACTTCAGTAAACTACAAAGCCACACCACCCACAGAACACACAAACACACACGAGCAGACAGCGACCACACAGCCAAAAACACCCACAGACACACTCATCACTCCACGCCGACGTGGAACGGAACGGAGGAACGGACCGAAAAAGCAAGTGCAATGTGCCACTTCTAGACACAACTGAACAACTGAGTCACTGCGAACACGCCGACAATCCAGCGGCCCCAGACAGCACCCTCCCTACACGCCACAACTGAACAAAGCCCAGAGTCAAACGTTCGTTTTTCCGTATTTTGCGTCCTGTCCAAGGGCGTCCGGGTTTTTTTTTTAAGTGATGCAAATGTCCGGGTTTTCATTACTGTTCTTTGAGGGCATTAAACTGAGCGTCTCTCGTAGCGTCTGTGACTCAGAAGGAGTGAGACACAAACAGTCGGTCAGTCTGCAACATGCTGAAACCCGTCTCCGTTTTCCATCCTGGTTGGGACAAGTGGGAGTCCATGTGCACAGGTTGCGAGGTGTGAGTACAGTGGTCCCTTTACAATGGTTTATCGCGGGGGTTACGTTCTAAAAATAACCCGCGATAGGTGAAATCCGCGAAGTAGTCAGCTTTATATTTTACAATGATTCTATCTGTTTTAAGTCTGTAAAACCCCTCACCACACACTTTATATACTTTTCTCACACAAGACAGGTGCAACCCTTTTTACATCCTTCTTAAAACTTATTGCTGCTGTCGTCCTTTTGTTATTCTCCTCCTTCTTTATGTAATGAACCCAAGATTCATTTATTCCGTAGAGTCATTTTTGGAGATCCCCAGTGCAGGACCGCACCCGACCATTAACCCCAGATTATATGAAGCTTTTGCGCTGCCTACGCCATGGACTGAACTAAGACTAAACCAGGACTAACCCAGGACTAACCTAGGACTAATTCCAGGACTGAAGAGGAGGACTAATCCAGGCCTGAACTAGGATTAAAACAGGAGTAAACCAGGACTTAACCAGAACTGAAAGAGGACTCACTGTCGGGACGGCCTCGGAGGCGACTGCAGGAGAAAGGACCGGATCAGCTCCACACCTCACGGAGGAAAACGCCCGATCACGCTTTGTGGACAAACTGATCGGCGTTCTCTCTCTTAAGTCCAAGATTAGTCCTGGTTTAGACCTGGTTTAGTCCTGACCCACCCGTGAGTAAAAAAAAAAAAAAAAAGAAAAGAAAATAACATGCAAAATTGACAGAAAAAAAAGGAAAAGAAAAAAAACTGCAAAACAGAACACAAAAGGTGAAACGCGATATAACAAGGGACGACTGCAGCTCAATGTCGAGGCCCCACCTCCCACCCCCGGTAAGGTGTCCGGGTTTTCACAAATGGAAATATATATATTATATATATATATATATATATATATATATATATATATATATATATATATATATATATATATATATATATGTATATATCACTACCATGAACGCGCCAAACAAAGTCCCACTGACCCATCCAACTGTTGTGTTTCCTTTAAAGTCCGGTGCGGTTTATTTGTGAAAAACGTTCAAAAATAGATCATTCTATGACAGTGCACCTTATAATCCAGAGCGCCATATAGCCCGGAAAATACGGTAATGAGTAAATCGTGAATAAGTAACTTGTGAACTCAAGACTGACTCTAGAATTCTCCTTTAAGTTTTCATCTTTCTTCCCTTGATAGTTGTGGATAAATTGTTAGAATGTTTATCCTGTGTGGACCTTGTTGGATGAAGATTTAGTGATGGGACAGATTTATGAAGCTGCTGGAAAATACATGAAACATTCCCACAGATATTTTGCCGTAGAAAAGCATTAACGTAAGTGATGTTTACCTACATCGCTGCACTGCGGCTGTTGTGAAAAAGGTCTATTGGAAGTGGAACAAATACAAGGTTCCCCTTTTCCCTGTATTATAACCAAAATAAAAAATTAAATGAATTAAAATGAATTTACTCAAAACGTATTTACTTATTTATTAGTATTAATTGTTTTTTAATATTTTACTGAATTTCAATCTGACTATTATAAAACTGGAACATAAATGTATGACATTGACGGCAGCTACAACTCACATGGCTCTTTCTTACAAGTTTGTACTAGATCAAATGTTTTCAAAAAAGATCAAGACAGTGTGTAGTGGTCTGATTCTTGTCACAAAGTTTTGCGTTTACAATACACGTTCAGAACTGAAGGGCAGACTGCAGACTTATGAGAACTGTTGGATATTTCATGTTTAAACCATGATCTAATCATAAGGATTTACGTCATGGAGACCTGATTTGTGTCCTCATAATGTAGCCAGGTCCCTGTAATGTGAGTGTGTGTACAGTTTAGTACCCACAATGTGATGAATCTGTGCATCACACACACAGGGCCTTATGATTTCCATATGGAGCTTGTTATTGTTTTTTCTATCTCCATTACTTCATGAGGAGGCAGGGGATGTGTGGCTCTGAGTGGAGGAAGTGAGGTGGGGAGGAGAGGTGACAGGCTTTTCTGCAGCTCAGACTGGACAGTGGGTTCTCACTGGAAGAGTACTGAGTATTCATACTCAAAAAGTCCTGTTCACAGGACAGAAATGTTTTCAAAAAATCTTTCCTGAATGTCTTTAGAATGATCTGGAGCTGTATCAACAAGTGTCAGAACACATAGACTAGTATACACACATGGACCAACATGAACCTACTGCACCACTGAACGATTACACACATATAAAACACATGGAAAAAGAAAAGAAAGTACTACCAGTTGAAGATTCTATTGTCTAAAGAAAGAGTGTTTTTACTACCATCGTGGTATCAGAATTAGTATGGAGTATCGAGTCTATTAATTAGTATTGAAATCATTTGAAATGCTGGTATTATGACAGCCCTTGGGTGTTGATTCGGATCTGTATTTAGACATAAATTTGTCCAAAATGTGTCTATCACATGGCACTAATCTCTCTACTGATGCACAGTACTATACCACAGAAGTAATGTTACTTCCTGTTTACAACTTTTGCTTTTAGGGCTTGTGTATTTCTGGGGCAGTGCTGGGAGATATAAAGAGGGGGTGTTATGCAAATAGATTTTTGGAGCTTTATTTCATGTTATAATATTGTTCTTTCATCTAAAACATGTCTGAAGAAGTTTAGGCCTTTGTGTCTCAGTCAAAGGTCTCAGTGCAGAGGAGGACTGGACAGGGAGGGTCAGCTGATCCTGTCAGGGCAGTTTGAGGAGAGGAAGAGCCAAAAGTGTCTCTCCTCTGTGTCCTGCAGCATCACAGCAGTATCCAGGGGGAACCAGGTGAACACAACAGGAAAGGCCTCTTTCTTACTCAGATCTGGTGTTTTAGTTGGTGATGAAATGATTCATTCCCTCAAAGTGTTTCCTCTGGAAGGTCTTCTGCCACATTTGCTGCCTGTAGCTTTGTAAAAAGCCTGTAGCATCTTAAATGTCCATAACTAACAAATAACTCATTTCACATAATCCAATAGTACTTCTCTCCTGCAAATGTTGCACTTCTTAGTTGGTTCATATTCCATGGTATAGTGTTAAAAACTGAGCTCAAAAAACAAAAAGTTTAAAACAGCTTGGTGTGTGAGGTTGATAGCCACAAAAGCCATCCGTTGCCATGGGAAGGGAAGGGGGAAAATAAAGCGACTGGAGATTCAGAGAGTCAAAAATGAAAGGAGACATATTAGACACTTTAATACATTCTTTTCTGCAAATATAACATTTTCAAATCAATCATCAATCAGTATGTTCTGTGTTACAGTTAATACCCCATAGAAGTGTAATACCTCCTCTTTACAGTAAACACAGTGACACACATTTTTGTAGTAGTCTGATATAAACATATATGGTCTTAGAAGACATTTTGCATCAGCCAATCACAGCACAGATCAGTGCTATGTGTCCTCCCTCCTGAGAGATGCTGTGGAATCTCCCTCCCATCCCATATGAAAACATTACAGATGAGTGAAAACTCGAGTGTGTGTAAACAGACCCTAAATAACACTGATGAGCCTGTCCTCTTGATACTTGATACTCAGGGTGTTCTACATGTATCTCTATGGTGGAATGTTTAGCTTATCATGGAGACACGAGGCACACAAGTTTTAAGATTGTCTGAAAACTCAAGAAAATTATAAAATGGATTTAAAGAATACTTTCAGGACCCTGTGGTCAATATGAGTGTTTATGATCCTGTTTAGGAATTTGATCTTCAACAAAAAGGCGACAGTGACTAAGTGAAAAACTGTTGACTAATGCTAACTAGTTTGTCACTGTATTTTTATTTGTGAGAGGGACTGGTTTAACAGCACAAACCAGCTCGCCTACTGTACTTCCAGCTGAGTCAGCTCTTTCTGGTCAGATTCTGTTAAAATAAAGATTTCAGAGAAGTGTAATAAAGCCTCGGACAGAGCATGCCTCCTGTTAGCATTACATCTCCAGGAAATGTGGATAACATCAGCTGTAACGTGTCCACAGGCACCCATCCACCCACCCACTGCCCTGTGGCTAAAGAGGGTGGGTGTCCCTGCTGTGAGGGCGGGTGTGGGTGTCATGGCTGTGAGAGTGGGTGTGGGTGTAATCCTCCATCTTGGTGCTCCTGACTGTGCACCTGCCAAAGAGCTGGGCTCTCTGGGTTAGAGGTGCTGCCTCAGGCTTCAGTCATGTAACTGTTACAAAAACATCAGCTCTGAAATATGAATCTGAAATTACTCCCACAGAGACAGAAGAGAGACTAGAGCATATATCTGAGAACTACACTGTGAATGATACATTGTACTGCTGAACATTACTCCATTGACTCCTTTGCAGTATCCCCCAGCATGATGTCCCTGCAAAATGTAATGTTATTTAAACTAAAACTTGTATGTGTATGTAATGTAGATCATTATTTTCCTTACTGTTTATTATAAAGCTCAATATCAGTTATAAAGCTGGATAGTTAGAACAGGTCCAGTCAGTTCCTGTTCAAACCCTCGGCCCTTCACAGTGACATTTCTCTGTACAAGCAGCAGACCGTCATTTATGGTGTTTTATTTTTGAAAATGCCTGAACATATGAATAACAAATACAAATGAGTAAAGAGCAGTAGGTGAAGATAAGGAGTAGTTTTTTTCCAGCACTGAACCCACAGATACAGAATATTAGAGGATTACTCAAACATGCATGAATCACTCAAGGTGCAACTGTGATGAAAGAACCCCACTAACTCGTCAACTCCTAACAGTTCATTTGATAAAGATCCTTTAGGGATGCACCGATACAGATACTGATATCGAATATCATCACCGATACTCACTACTACTTTATGTAATAAGACTATTTACATGAAAGTCTTATGTTGTGTGAACTTACATTGAGCTTTTCAGTAGTTATGTGAAAGACAAAGCACAGCTGTGATCTCTTCTGTAAAAAGTAAACTGTAGAAATAGGAAGGAAATACCCTTGTGTCTCTGCACTGGAACTGAAAAAGCTGGATTACTGCGTCCCCATACTACAGTACCATGTAACACACTATCCAAGTAACTGAATGTCACTTGAATGTAAACCCAAAACCCAAACCCAACACCTTAAACCCAAACCCAGCACCAGCCGAGTGTTGTGTTATTTTACACTGTGCAGTACTTTGTACTTAATGACGTAAGTACAATAAATCAAGTCTAGAGTTACATGTACACAAACATGTCTCCTGGTGTTTGCCTAAATAATTAGCAGTATGTGCACATAAACAGCAGCATGTCTTCAGTGTGGTCCAGGCCAGTGGGCAGACATACCCATGAGCTCTGCTCTGCTCTGCTCTAGTCTGATCTGCTCTGCTCTGCTCTAGTCTGGTCTGGTCTGGTCTTCTCTGGTCTTCTCTGGTCTGGTCTGGTCTTCTCTGGTCTGCTCTAGTCTGGTCTGCTCTGGTCTTCTCTGGTCTGGTCTTCTCTGGTCTGGTCTGGTCTTCTGTGCTTGATTTTGCAGAACAGGGTTTCTTTAATAGAGATGTGTGTCATGTGACGTCATATCCTCCTCTGTTCTTTTGTCTCCTAGGTCCCCGTGGGCCCCCAGGGCTCCCAGGAGACAGGGGGCTCCCAGGCCCCCCCGGCCCCCCAGGACCACCCGCACCTGTCAGCGCACGCATCCCAGAACCAGAAGGTAAACTCACCACTGTTCCACTGTTTGTGTGCCCATGGGCCAAGTGCTGGTGATGACACCAGTGTGGTCAAGAGTTTGGATGGTCTAGTTTGTTTTGGCATCAGTGGAAACACACATCCTCTGATTGATTAATTCTTCTTTAAACTAGGGAGAATTGATCAGTTATTGGTGATATCAGTTATCATATTTTTACAAATGTCAGTATCACTCAGATCTTCAACATTTAGCCTCTATCTGACTGCTCCAGTCGGTGAGTGTCATTCTCAGTCTTCAGAGCATGTGTGCTTTTCAGCAGACTTTGAGCAGACTAAATGAGGATTCATCTGTATTTATATGAATATAAATACATTTTATTATTATTTTTACAAGTTCATTTGTAAACTCCACTTTATACATTTGGTCCTTGCAGTGGATAATATCGAGATTGGCAAATAGTGATTATCGGCCACAACAGTGAGATAAATATTGCATTTCAGTAGAGACAAACAATCCATATTAGAGCGTCCTTATTTTAAACCAGCCCCCTGGAGGTCAGCGTAAAAAACACACATTCAGAGTGAAGTGGAGGAGCGGGCTAGTGTTGGCTGCCAGGCTCATGGGGCATCCTGTGGTGAGGGCTGTTGAGGTTGGCACAGGTCCCTCTCTCGCCTCACAGCACCAGAGAGGGGAAGGGGGGGCTTCCTTCACTAAACACCCTCATGTTTACCCTCTGCCCAGTGAGTCTTTCAAGTGTACCACAGGAGGCACGGCAGGAGGCCAAGCAGACGAGCAGAGAGAGAGAGAGAGAGAGAGAGGGAGAGAGAGAGAGGAGAGAGAGAGGGAGGAGGTGGTGGAGGAGAAGGACAGAGGGAACAGAGGAGGGCTCCTTCAGGGTGAGGGAGGAGGACAGATAGAGCAGATAAGGAGTGGTTCAGAGGGAGAGGATATAGGGCAGAGGGAGCAGAGGAAGCAGACTGTGTGTTTGAGCTCATATGACTGACCACAGAAAGCAGGCTAAAGAGCATTTCCAGAAAGAGGAGTGACCAGGAAACTATGGAGCGGTCAGGAGGGCTTATGCACACTCCAGATGATCAGAGATCTACTTTGATTCATTTGTCACAGTCACAAGTCTGAATGGAAAGTACAAGAGCCGCATCAGGGTTTGTTTGAATACCGGTACTTTTATCAGGTTTGGGCAAACACATGTCATTACACACTTAACATTGTGACCTTACGACGTTGGTAATTCTCCAAACTACATGATGTATTTACAAAATATGATGTGATTTCTCACTCACTCCAAAAAGAGATTGTTCTCAGCAGTGATCTTTGTACTATTGTGCCTACTTTTGTCATTTAAATGAGGATACTGCCCCCTAGAGGATGTTGCCAGTTAGTGCAGCTTGTGTAGACAGGACCGGTGAAAATGTACAAATGCATTTATAAAGAAGACACTGTGGAGTGACAGCTCTTCAGACACATGATCTGTGACATTTGTGACAGTTTAAGACTAAAGGAGATATGTTTTTTTATGTTCAGCTCGAGGAAAAGACCACTTCTTCACCAACACGTTTCATGACTCCAGAGGGGCCCCTGTGCCTGGCCCCCAGGGGCCACCAGGGCCAGTGGGTGAGTGTGGAGTATAATTTCTTTGTACTTATTGTTTAGAGAGTTTGAGTAGTAATTTGAGAATGAGAATGTGAATTCACTGAGCAGACATAGTGTATACTTACTTAGTACTACATGGACAGAGCCCTGCATGGCCCCGAGCTGGACAGGCCCCATGGAGGCAGCACCCATACTCTGGTCACTGTCAGATATATGAAGGGCACTTACAACATCACTATCAAATCTGAGCTCCTCAACAGCACATGACACTGTACTTTTGTGATCTGCAGGTCCTCCTGGTCCCAGAGGCCCCTCAGGACCCCCTGGGCCCCCAGGGCAGAACGTGAGTACAGAGCTTGTACTATACTAAATGTCAGCGCTGTCATGTGCACTATGTCATCCCATGTCCTTTGTGCAGGGTAAATCTGGAACACCAGGGGCCCAGGGCCCTGTAGGGCCAAAGGGAGAGCGTGGTGAGAGAGTGAGTATGACACACTGACCTCATGTGTTCATCATGTGTCTGACCTCATGTGTTCATTATGTGTGTGACCTCATGTGTTCATTATGTCTGACCTCGTGTGTGTGTCTGACCTCATGTGTTCATCATGTGTCTGACCTCATGTGTTCATCATGTGTCTGACCTCATGTGTTCATTATGTGTCTGACCTCATGTGTTCATCATGTGTCTGACCTCATGTGTTCATTATGTCTGACCTCATGTGTTCATTATGTGTCAGGCCTCATGTGTTCATTATGTGTGTGACCTCATGTGTTCATTATGTCTGACCTCGTGTGTGTGTCTGACCTCATGTGTTCATTATGTGTCTGACCTCATGTGTTCATTATGTCTGACCTCGTGTGTGTGTCTGACCTCATGTGTTCGTTATGTGTCAGGCCTCATGTGTTCATCATGTGTCTGACCTCGTGTGTGTGTATGACCTCATGTGTTCATCAGTATGTCATGTGTGAGCTCTCTTCTGTTCTAGGGTCCTGCTGGGGCCCATGGAGAGCGGGGCTTCAGGGGAGAGCCGGTAAGGACTCACACAGGTCTACTGTTTTTTCTTTGTAGACCTTCAGTGATTTGACAATAAAAGATTTGATACCTGAAAACCTGACAGCAAAATGATATCGAATGTAGTTGTTTAGTTACATCCTAATCTTCCTATTTACACAGTGTAAAAAATTTAAAACAGTGGTGCCAACACAGAACTCTGAGGGACTCTATTAAAGCTTTTACATTTTACATTTTGATTTTAAGAGATACAGAGTGTACAGAGACATACAAGGTACTATATCATATTTGATATCATGATATGACACCTGTCCTCTGTGGTTTTCATATGTTCCCAGGGAGTACCAGGTCCAAAGGGAGAGCCTGGAGAGAAGGGGTTACCGGTAAGGCTGAGTACATGATCTTTGATAACTGTGCAGATGTGTGTCTAATATCACTGTTCTCTTTACCTCCTGCTCATTGTACAGAGCAATCTCAATGTAAGACCATTTCATTTACAGTTTCAAGAACACATGTTATGCAGAATCGACATTTTGGACCTTTTAACCATGTTATACTGCTGTCAGAAACATACCTAGAGTTGTATTTTGTTTCATTTACTCTTGTTTCATTAATCCAAAGTTGTCTTCTCTGAGCACTCAAAATGCCTTTTGTTGCATCATAGATAAAACTCTAAACTTCTCCTGTGCAATTTTGAAGACCATAAACTATCACAGGACTCATTCTGTGGTCAAGTTAAAGTATATTTTGCAAATCCAGATATTATTTGAAGTGTGAAAATGTGAACTGACCACGCGCATGTTTAAAAGAGAATGAAAGATGAATGCATAATATGTGTCCTTTAGGTTTAGTGACCCGCCGTTCGCGGTGAGCCTTTACCCCTCCAGCCTGGGACGTGTGTAGCTCATTCAGAAGCACTGTGGCGTCCTGTACATCTGTGCTGTTCTTTGTGATTGTGATTTGTGTCGTAGATTCATGTTCTTGTTGTTGTGGTGGTGTTGGGGGCGAGGTCTGTGCCCTGTCCTGCTCCTGCTCTCTGCCCACAGCTTCTTTCATCACTCTCTCTCTTTGGCATATACATTCACCACGCTAGAATTCAAACTGATAGTGGCCAAAGCAGTGTACCAACATTTGACTGATCCAGCATTTAGACAGCAGTTACCTCCAAATGAAAACTTCCTCAAACTCGACTTGGAGGGTGCAGTATATGCCAAAGAGCCACATTTGTCGTATATATGTGTACAGTGTTGGGGATAGTGGGGACACAGGTTTCAGTGGAGTGGATACAGCTGCCTTTACTACTCCATAACAGTGCATGACAGTATGAACCAAACCAGTAACTCAATGTGTGAAATGTGTGATGCATTAACCTGCTGTGACCTCCTGCATGCACCTTTCTCTTTCTCTGTCTCTGTCTAACGTTTTTTTTAAATTTTTTCAGAATATGTGTATGTCTATGATAATTGAATGTTTTGGTTATAACATTTATAACAAGATCAAATATAATGAGCCTCATTCATTAGTGTTCTTATGAAGTCATTATATCATAATTAAGACCTCATACTTAGACTAAACCGGAACAAGCCTAAACTGGAACTAACGGCATTGCAAGAGTCAGGACTAAACTCCAGTCTCATCCAGGAGAGTACCATAGTTACTTAGAAAAAAATAGTCATAAAAATGTACTCTATAGGCTCTATTCACACTTTTTTTAATTAGATCAATTATAATACACAAAATTGGCAATTTATAAAAGGGAAAAAAAAGAAAGAATACAATGATGAAGAAAACCAGGCCATTTTCTCACTTTTTACTGTTGCCAACAGCGCCCAAAGGAAGTCATCATCCAAATGTTTCCAAACATCTGCCGGTTTTGTGACGTAAGAGTGAATAGAGCCTATTACAAGTACAAGGAAAACACAAAGTACGCATAAAAAGTAATACTCACTTTTCTTTTTTATGAAGTTTTGATTCATTAAATGTGCACTGTATAACTTTTCGGGTGGAGGGTCCATCAAATGCTTTTCTCCATGATGTTATTGCTTTTTCTGGAATGTTTCAAAGTATGATATTAAACTTTTCTATCTTCATGGACACCAACCCAGACCAAGTTACAGGTCAGATCTGTGGAGAGGCGACCCTGTTCACAGTCAGAATGTTTGTTTTACTGGGTATGTTTGAGCTATAAAACTGCATTTAACTGAATTAATATAAGATGGAGATGTTTAATGTCACACTGTGGCATGTCGTGGCACAGCAATGACATATCCAGTGTTGCCATAGTTACTTTGAAATAATAATCTGACTACTAACTACTGATTACTTCTTCAAAAAATAACTTAGTTAAGTTACTGACTACTTGATTTTAAAAGTAACTAAGTTAGATTACAAGTTACTTTATTAGTTACTTTCAGCAGCGGCTGATCTCCCCCCTTCTTGAAGCAGACAACACTTTGTCTCCAGCACAGAGTGAACAACAAACCTTTCTGTTGCCATCCTCAGCTGAAATCAAATCAAAATAATGTTTGTATTTCTAGCTGCAGAAGTCGTACCTCTCTCCCTCCTGTTTACATCGGACTCGTGGAGGAGCAGAGATGACGTAAAATCTGGTGTCACCAGAGACGATTTATACGATCTTTGGGGTCACATAACCCACGTCACAAAAAAATATAAATAAATAAATAACCTACGTCGCCCTGAAATGCAAAAATAGTAACACAAAGTGTATTAGATAAGTAACTCAAATCTGACTACTGGTTTGGAAATAGCACTGTGTTAGAATACTCCTTACTGGAAAAAGTAGTCACATCTCTGGCATCACTGGACATATCCATAGAAACAAGCAGATGATGGACCCTAAACCAAAACGTTACATAGTGCAACTTTTAACTGTTTGAAGCTGTTCAGTCATAGCAGGCGATGCTGTGTCGCTTTGTGTTTGTAGAGGAGGGAACCACGTTGAGTTTATTTGGTTTATTTTACAGGGACCATGTTCAGAAGCATTAATTTAAAAAAAAGCATAAATAACATAAAACAAGGCATTATATATACGAAAATAGTTCAACAGCACAAGGAGAGCTAAAAAACAGGACAACAGATAATCAGAATCAGAACTATTCCTTACGTGGCTGGTGTTTCTGATTTCAAACCTACAAACACTTACACCTACAAACACTTTAAGACAGAAACTGGTCCACCCAAAGGACAAAACACCGAGCCACAGACAAAGCAATGTTGTCTACTCCATTCAGTGAAGTGAAGACTCCAGTGAACACTACACTAGAGAAACAAAACAGACACTTCATAAGAGGATGAACCAACACAGACGAGAGAGCAGCACAGGACCTCAGTCTGCTGTACATCTCCTGGTTTGAGAGTTAAGGAAAAACAATCCATTACATTATTACAGTATTAAAGTATACAGTATTACAGTACAGTATTACAATATTACAATATTACAGTATTACATTATACAGTATTACAATATTACAGTATTGCAGTATTGCAGTATTACTGTATAGAGTATTACAGTATTATAGTATTACAGTATAACAGTATAGAGTATTACAGTATGCAGTATTACGTTATACAGTATTACAGTATTACAATATTACAGTATTACAGTATTGCAGTATTACTGTATAGAGTATTACAGTATTATAGTATTACAGTATAACAGTATAGAGTATTACAGTATGCAGTATTACGTTATACAGTATTACAGTATTACAATATTACAGTATTACAGTATTGCAGTATTGCAGTATTACTGTATAGAGTATTACAGTACTACAGTATTACAGTATTACAGTACTACAGTATTACAGTATTACAGTATTACATATTACAGTATTACAGTATTGCAGTATTACAGTATGCAGTATTACGTTATACAGTATTACAGTATTACAATATTACAGTATTACAGTATTACAGTACTACAGTATTACAGTATTACATATTACAGTATTACAGTATTACAGTATTACAGTATTACAGTATGCAGTATTACGTTACACAGTATTACAGTATTACAATATTACAGTATTGCAGTATTGCAGTATTACAGTACTACAGTATTACAGTTTTACAGTTTTACAGTTTTACAGTATTAGAGTATTACAGTATTACAGTTTTACAGTTTTACAGTATTACAATATTACAGTATTACAGTATTACAGTTTTACAGTATTACAGTATTACAGTTTTACAGTTTTACAGTATTAGAGTATTAGAGTATTAGAGGATTACAGTATTACAGTTTTACAGTATTACAGTATTACAGTATTACAGTATTACAGTTTTACAGTATTACAGTATTACAGTTTTACAGTTTTACAGTATTAGAGTATTAGAGTATTAGAGGATTACAGTATTACAGTTTTACAGTTTTACAGTATTAGAGTATTAGAGTATTAGAGTATTACAGTTTTACAGTATTAGAGTATTAGAGTATTAGAGTATTACAGTTTTACAGTATTAGAGTATTAGAGTATTAGAGTATTACAGACTTGTCTGTGACTGTTATATTCTCTGGATGGACTGGAGGCTGGGGGACGTGGCATGAATCCTCTCAGACAGTGGTCGCTGTGCATGGAGGCAGCATGAGAAGCAGCATGGTCCAGAGTGACTGAGCGGTGCAGTGACCGGTGTATGTTCTCCAGGAGTTAACCCTCTAACCGCCTGTGCCTGCTCACCGCTGTATCTTTCCACAGGGAGACGGCATACACCAGATCAGAGAGGCCCTGAAGATCTTAGCCGAGAGGGTTTTAATCCTCGAGACTATGATCGGTATCCATGGTGAGTAGGGCTGTAGGTCGACTAATCATTTCATTTAGAAGATCAGGATTTCTATGGGAACAGCAGAAAGGAGAAGGGAATGAGGAAATGAGCTGAAGATTTGGTATTTTGTGGTATTTATGTATAAAAAGGCAGATTAAACTCATGATTCACAAGTTTTAAAGGGCTATTTTCTGATCTCTGTTATAATGTTTTGTCACCATAAACAGACCTGGAGTTGTGCTTTGTTTCATTCACATGTTAAACACACAAATCCTGCACATTTAGGTTGAGCTGCTTCTCTCAAACAGAAAACACTCTGGTCCATCTTATGATGTAGTAATACAGGAAGTGCTTCATGGTGTTTTTACACTTTATACACCTTTTCTTGAATTATTTGGATGAATTCAGTCATGAAATTTCCAATCTGTACTGAACAAAAGGTAAAAGGAGATGTTAACTTGAAAAGTACCACCATCTGACATCACAAGGTGGAACAGAGAATTTTGAGCTTTGAAGCCCAAATAATAAAGGATTATTCAAACGTGTGAATGAATCTCCAGGTATGTTTTTGAGCATTATAACATGGCTAAAAGCTCAGAATGGTCCATTCCGTGTGATACATGACCTTTAATCTGTCTTTATATAAATCCATGGTTTCCTCGGATTCCCATGCAGGTGTAATTGATCAGAAGGCCACGTCTTCAGTCCACCAAGAAGTTCTTTAGTCAACCACAGCCCTAACGGAGAGTGAAAGTCAAAGCAGCTTTAGGCAGGGGAGGGCTCAGCGAGCAGACAGGGCACAGACAGGGCACAGACCCCTGGACAGCCAGTCCCGAGTCCTGGTTTTGGTCCAGACTCGGGGCAGACTGCTCCAGGGCTGGTCGGTCCGGTCTGAGCGGTCTGTGTACGTGTGTGTAGGACGTTAGCCTGCAGATGATCCAGGAGCTGCAGGCAGACCTGGAGCTTCTGGCTCGTAGGGTGACGCTGCTGGAGGCCATCATCTGGCCAGGTAACACGGACACACTCACCACTGCTACACGGAGAAGAGAGGCCTGGAAAACACATGACACTTACAGGAATATAAGGAAATAGTGCTGAGACTATTGAAATATTTTACACTCAATTTTAATACTGTGGAGTGGACTTGATACTCAATACTGATTCAGATACTTTCTTTAGACTGTCATTACCAACATTAAATGGTAGAACTTTCTTTTCTATTCCCATGTGTCTTATAAGTGTGTAATCCTTCAGTGGTCCAGTAGGTTCATAGTGGTTCATGGGTGTATACCAGTGTTGGGAGTAACACATTATAAAAGTAACAAATTACTGTAATGCATTGTTTTTTGCTGTAATGCAGTAATGTAGGCATTACAGGGGAAAAAAACGTAATATTTTACTGTGGGTATCGCACGTTACAATGCTTTTTTAACCTGGATTGAAGTGGTGGGTTTTTCTTCAAACAAATTCGCTAAAATCACATCGATATCAGCAGCGGTGAAACGCTAGAGACGCAAACACGTAGACCGTCGGGTAACCGCGGGCGAAAGGACCGACGCAGAACTCCGCGCTCCACGAGGCAAACCGCAGCTGACGCACGATCGCTCCTTGTAGACACCCTGCTCCACGGACTCAGGGTTCTCTCAGGAGCGGTCCTAGATTCCAAGTTCTAGTCCAAGATTAGTCCTGGCTTAGACCTGGTTCAGTCCTGGTTCAGCTCCGGTTTAGACCTAGTTCAGTTCTGGTTTAGTCCTGGTTTAGTCCTGGTTCAGTCTATATACGGCGCAAAAGTTCAGCATCTTCACAGTTATTTTGGTGAGTTTAACTTAAAAGTGCTGCAATAGTCATGTAATGTTTTACATTTTATATACTAGTATATAAAATGTATACTAGCCTATGTGCTATTCTACTTGTTTTGATACAGCTCAAGTTCATTCTAAAGACATTCTGGAAAGGCTCATTTCTGTCTTGTCAATGTGACTATGTGACTTTTAGTATCGATACCTGCTCAAATGATCTAGCTTTGATTCTAGTTTCAGTTGTTTCAGGCAGAAGAACAGGACAGGGGACAGATTCTTCCCTTTCAAAGACTTTATTAGAGTTTATCAAACAAGCAGAGCTCTTTTCTTACATAGAACAGACTATGAGGAGAGCACAACAAACATCAGCCTTGTTTCCACTGGGTCTCTTTGGATCAGTATGGGCCATTAGTGTCTCAACTGCCTGAGGTTAGCTGCACCAGTCTGTCTGAAGGGGTCTGGAAAGGGGTCTGAAGGCGGGCCTGGTTGGCTAGCTCCCAGAGAGATCTGATCCTGGAGGCCACTCAGGGTCTGGGGCCAGAGTGACTTGGGTTGGGTGTGGTTAAAGTGACCAAACAACATGACTGGGCAAGAAAGAACACAGACTCCGGTGAAGACAAAACAGCAAAAACTGATGTAAACAAAATAATAGAATTTCAGCAAATAATAAAAAAAAAGAAAAATGTACTTCCAGTGATGGCAGCTTAAATGTTGAGCCGACGTGTGAGCAAAACAAACCCAGAGCATCACATAAAGAGAAGTTTAAACAGGCCGTAGAGGAGTGGTGAAGTGAAATACATGTAGAAAAAGTAGACCATAAACCAGAAGTAGACACAAAGGGGCCAGAGGGAGCTGCACCAAATGTCCCCAAGAGACCAGTGCCAGTGGAAAAGAGGCTTTATGATCTCCACACAAGACCCTGTCTGCTTCCTGAAAACCAGAGCGAGACAAAAGCCCAGTGTCCACCAGCCCTGCTCTGATCTTCTACCACAGTTTGGACTGTTTCCATTGGTCCAAGGTAGGGTCCACTACCTGTTTGTCATTGCTTTCCTGGAATGTTCCATAGTATATCCATGGATACAAGCAGGTGACCTGAGCAGGCCAAACTACTGGGCTGATCTGTGGAAAGGGAAGTCACTCAAAGTAAGAATATTTATGAGTGATAAACATATTTTTGAGCTATAAAAACTTATAAATGCACAAATGTAAGTTAGATAAGTATCAGGCTGTTGGTGGTGACGAAATAGCTGAGTCCAAAGGCAAAGCTCTTGATTCACCACATAGTCTAGATTCCTTCTCTCACCTGTGGTCAAGAGCTCTGCATAATGACCGAAGGGACAAGATCTCAGACACAGGTGGAGGAAGTGAGTAGGACGTCTGTGTGGAACTGGCTCTCTGTTTGTCTGTGGAAAAGCCCGTCAAACTGGCCTGTGTACTTCAGGTGAAATGTGCATGTAGTGTGTTCTAGGCCCTAGTCATAGGATGAGGAGCTCAGTCACACAGGAGGAGGAACTTGGAATAGAGCCGCTGCTCCTCCACGTGGAGAGGAGCAGTTGAGGTGGCCCCAAGGAAAATCCAGAACATGCTGGAGGGACTATGTCTCTTGACTGGGCCTGGATATTTACCTGCACTGGATACTTTTTAGACTTGGCTCGGTCACAGTCATATACAGATACTGTTAACTGCTCTGAGTGCTGTGCTGTCATGTGGCTCATTGTGGCCAGTATCCATGGATGTGGAACCAGAAATGGAAAGAGAACCAAAGTGAGTACAACCAAACCTACAGACCACAGTGGGACTGGTGGACATGTGGAAGTTACCAGAACTGTTGTTGCCAGTACTTACGTATAGAGCATGATATTTGACATCTGCTGTAGCTCTAGATTCTACTGAACACTCAGCTCAAAGAGCAAACCCCCTCCGACCGCTGTCTCTCTCCACAGAGCCTGATCTGGGGTCTGGGGATGGAGCTTATGGTACAGCGCCCCCTAGCTTCTACAGGGACAAGCGCTCCGGGTCCCTTCCACAGCGCCTGTCCACTTTGCTCTCCTCGTCTGACGGCAAACCCCGAGGGAACTAGAACTTTCCCATGATCCTACAGTACAGATAAAGAACTCCAATGGGAACTGTGGCTGGAGAAGCATGTCCAGGAGCATGGTCCCAAGGAGAACATCTCAGGGAACCCAAGCCGCTCTGTGGCGGGTTTCACGTGGAGTAAGCAATAACCACTTCCATGACTGCTGGAGGAGGAGGGGGGTCGCGCTGGTGCTGATTTTATTTTATTTTAGAAATTTTGAAGAATTTGTTTTGAAATGAAAAAAAAAAAAGGTAGTGTGGTGCTGCAATGGACTGTCGGGTCAGGAGAGAGTTTTAAAGGAGACATATTCTGCTATGTTTAAAGCGCATGTGACAGGTGTTCATGTTTTTTTGTTTGGTGGATAGTACCTGTAGTGAATATTTATCATAGTTTTAAATCCAAACTGCAGAAACAATTTACGCACAAGGACATTTTTCTGACAGTTTAACCTTTGTTTATTTCACTTATTTGTATTAGTCTAATCAGAACTATTGTGGAATTTAGACAAGTTTTTGCCCTTTTTTACATTCTGGTTGCTAGGTAACAGTTATGTCACATCTCTGCTCATGTCCAACCAGGAAGGAAAGTGATAAACTTTGCTAAAATGAAAGCTATAGAACAAACTAGGCAAGTTTAATCAAAAATCGCATCTGAAATATATTAATGTTAACTATGTGTTAGTAAAATGAGTGGTCTCACCTGTCATAAGCACTTAAGGTTTTCTAAAATACTCTTTGGTGACGTGTATCAGAATCAGGTTTTGTAAATAGCACGTTAGGACATTGTAGTCATGTGCAGTAATCTGTGTTGTATTTCAGTTTGAACATTTGGATTAAGAGTCTGATTTGGCACATACAGTTAAAGAGGGAATCCAGTATGCACAGTATAACAGCAAAGTTCATTCATCATGGTGCTGACGCGCATGGAAGGCTATGGTTAAAGGTTCTGCAAAAGTTAGTATAGCACAATATGTCCCTTTTAAAACAGGCTCAACATTTCACATTTGTGCAGCATGTTATATTTGTGGAATAGATGGAATAGAGGGACTCACTGCTGCACACAGCTTTTATCTTTCATAATGAGGCATACATGAGTTTGATTTGTACAGTATGTAACTTTTTGGACCAAAAATAAGACAAATATAAAAGCATGTGTTTTCATTATGAATGCATGAAATACATGGATCCTTACTGAGCTTGCATCTCCACAAACCTGACTCTTATTAGTCCTGGAGGAGGGCCCGCTCCAGCTGTTTCTGTGGAAATGTTGGCTATAATTTCATTTCATTTATTTGATTTGTTTGAGCCAGGTACAACAAAATTCAAAAACAGTAACAAAAATAGTGATATGTACATGGACATATTTGGGACCTGGTGCTCAAAAGGAGGAGGATGAAGTTTAAAAAACTTATAGAGTCCTACCCCAATTGTTTTACATAATCATGTGGTTCACTTTTCTTTTTTTTTTTAATATCACCTTTGGAGTGATCACCTGTCATTTGCAAAAATATACCCACATACATACAATAACATATCCACACATACATACAGACATATGCATGTATAATCTTCCACAGTATGGCATAAAAGTTATCCACCTCCATGCAGACTGTTCAGAAGTATGGTTGAAACTCTATTTCCATCAAATCATGTGGTGACTTTTCACCTCCAGAAAGTTACGTACTATCACTTTAAAGGAAATGACCTTTTTGTCCATTCATATCTGATGATTCAGTTATAGAAAGAATGAAATCCTTGTGTATTCAAATGACTTAGGAGCAGATGTAATTTATCTCTGATGCCACCTGCTGGTTTCATGTGGCAGATCCTGAGTATGAAATGAAATAACATTATGCAAAATAAGACAAATAGACCTGGGCATGTACCTGAATGCATCAGTAAATACTTGTATACATGTGTTTGTTTTTATTGCAGTTAACTGTCCATAAATGGTGCTCATGTGACATCACAACATTCTAGAAATCCTATAGTTTAACGTGAGCTGGACACAGGTCACGTTAAACAGGTCAGAGGTGGAGTTTGCTGTGTAACTATCGGATTGTTGATTTGTTGGCCTGGCTCGTTTCTCTGTCATTACTGGGTCTATCCACTTGAAACAAAAACAGAGTTGAACTCTGTCAGGAAAAATAAATAAAATTGAAATGATCTTTTCAAAACAAAAACAAATAATGATGAGGTTCAACATTTGTGGTTGGTAACTTTGAAGATTTCTACATTTCTACAGGCCCTGCCCTCTGTCTAAAATAATGAATTCAAATTGTATATCCATTTCAATCATTTCATTCCAATATATGCATGTTACATTTACAAGTCAATGCAAAAGCACCATCTTCTTCTTTTGCCAGTGCGCTCTTCACTGTGATTGGTTAAACCCACCTGTCACTCAAAGGCTGGCAATAGGAGAAGTGGGTGGGCGTGTCTGTGTTTGAGCATAGAGCTGTATTATATAAAGCACTGAATCAGCACAGATCACCTCTACTAATGACTGCTTACTCTTGTAATGACATCTCCAGCTGGTGTTTCCACTTTTCTACTGCATTTATGTAGTTATATTAAACTTCATATGTATACTGTTCATTTGTGACCAAAATGATGATGTTTTGGTTAGTTTAAGATTTATTTAATGTACCTAATCAAATATGATGCTAATAATAATGAAGAAATGTGCTGAGCATGTACACTCTCCAGTCTTTACTCACGTTTTTATGCTGTGTTGGATCATGTGGTGCTGTTGTATCAGTGAGGTAGTTTTCACGTGTCTTTTTGGTCTTTTGGTAAACTTTTTTTTAGAAGTCTGGAACCAAATAGTAAAATCATGCAAGATTAAAAAAAAATAATAAAATACTATGCAAAATCCATGTTATGTTAAGAACTTGAATATATTGTATGACTGCTACAGTTGTGTGTTTTTCCCTGTTCACTCATAAGGTGTGTTGTTTCAGATGATGCCTATGCTGTAATCTGCTGTGTAACCATTTTATACTTTTGTAATGTGGCCATGTTTGAAACAGTCTTGACTGATGTAATAAATATGTGTTTTGTACTTGTCTTTCTGAAGTCCTGTTGAGTTCTGCTTTACACTTAAGTGAACTTTGCATCAGGTTTGGATTGGAACTGGCAACTCATCTGAGAGACTCATGTGAGGCTCATTTATTTTCTGACTGCTTTCTTGAGAACCAGAACAGCAAATTATAACACATACACTTGGCCATCATGTCCAAAAGTCCAAAAAAGTGAAAATATATGTGATTTGAACATGTTCATATCTGGGGACACAGTTAGATCATGTTTATGGAATTTTAAATCTAAATCATACATACAGTTTTTTAATCCTGGTATCACAAATAATGAAAATGAACCATAAAAATTATTGCACCATCAGCTGGACAACTGGGGAGTGTTGAGCAGAGTAAATGAGGCTAAACAAGTATCATCTACATCACATCACGACCACTCTGAGGAAGAGCGCTAGTGAGCAGTCGAAACTGTCAGGTATAAAAACAAACTCTTGGTCTGAAAAAAGAACCTAATAACATAAGTATCAGCTACCAACTCTGCCATTACCAAGAGAGGCTTCATAGTAAGGGCCAAACCAACGCAAAGGTCTGTTTTTGCAGAATATAGTTCAAGGACTTCATTTTTTCCCAATAAAAAAACGAACATGTGGTGAAGTGCATGTCAGAGCATCATTTATTTTATTTGAACCTACAGCCTCCAAAAAGAACCCTCACAATATTCAAACTGTAACAGTCAAATGATGAGTACTCCCTGAAGTTTCCCATTTATCTGTGCGGAGCGGGCCCCGAGGTTTTGGCTCCCACTACAATCGCCTCTGAGCCAATGCGGTCGTCGATGAGCAGGGACACGGCGCCCTCTAGTTGTTTGGACGCCGCCAGTGCCACCACGGCCTTCTCTGTGGGGAAGCCCATCCTCTCCAGCTGCTGCAGCCTACAGCAGAGAGCAACAGGCTTTTGGTACTGTTTATTCATCCACAAATCTTTGTCTTTTTATCAATACAAGAACTACGATTACTACTACTACTGCCCCACTCCCAGTGTAACAGAGCCTCTAAACACATGGAAACTGGCATATAAACCTGCATAAGGCTACAGTACTTTTGCTGCACACTCAACTGGTCTATAAAACATGAGACACAGAAGAGGCAGTTCGTTATAGAGACAGACAATAGTGCTAATATCTGCATCAGAGATACTGCATCCATACATTATTTTTATTATATCTGAGGTAAATACATTGAAGAATTATACAAAGGTGAAAAATTGTAATGTCAGATGAATGGCATCACAGTCTAATCGTGAAAACAAAAAACATGCATATCATTGTGAAAGCTTTAGAAAATGTAGCACTGAAATGTAATTGTTTCCAAGAAAATTAAAGCTAAAAGGGAGTTGTTGGTTTTTTTGTCTGATAAGGCCACATTATTATTTTATTCTGAAAGTTTGACTTCATCAAGATGGTCACATATTTGAGGAGGTGTATGTGATAGGGCAAGTTGAATGAAAGAAATAGAAGGTTTGGTCATGGTCTTGATATTGTTTCATCTCTAGTGAAAAGTTCACTTGTCAACATGACTGAAATCTTGATATCTGCAAATACTTTTTATCAAGTCCCACAATAGCAAAATAAATATTGGATATCACCTAAACAAATCTATTCAGACTCTCCTTAATCAGCAATAATTAGCCACAGATGATGCACATGCACATCTGCTCACCTGAGAGACGACACAGAGGACTTGGGCAGCTCCACTTTAGCCTCTGCTGTGTTCAGGGCCTCGGCTGTAGGGTCAGGGCTGTGTGCAGACCCCAGGGGCCTCTCTCCGGCTCCGGGATGAGGACTGTCTGAGGCATCCTGCAGAGATGCCAGGATCCCTGCCCGGAGCATTTGGTCATCCAAGAGCTCGGCTTCAGTCAAACCATGAAACCTGTCCCACATGAGACCTGCTTCAGACTGTAACTGGTCTATGCCCCAGCTAGGGCCTGCCCCGGACTCTAACTGGTCTATATCCCATTCAGGACCTCCTCTGGACTCTAACTGGTCTATCCTCCAGCCAGGACCTCCTCTGGACTGTAAGCGGTCTAGCCCAGAGCTGGATCCAGAGGGTGGGTGAGGGTGAGAGGAGCTCACAGAAAAGCCGGGCTCTTGTCGGTGTAGTGCCTCAGAGTGTGGACTGTATCTGCCAAACAAATATGAGAATCTGAGCATTGCCAGGATATCATTTTTTTCACTTTTTTATGCAAAACATAATTTCAAAAAGTTTTTCAGAAATCTAAAACATTAATCCAAAATGATTTACATTCTACACACCAACTCAGCCATCACAGCCGTTTACTCCTCTGACGTTCTGCCTCCTTCAAAGTCCACCTGAGCTGAGCTACATTCTGATTGGTCCTAATTTGGTCCCAACTGGTTCAGAACACAGCAGCTAGGCACTGGCTTTAATACATGACAATACATCACCCTGTTTTAGCTTCCCTTCAGTGGCTCCCTGTGTGTTTTAGAATTGAAGACTTTACAGTTTACTTAGCCTCCCCCTTACCTATGGAGTAAGAAAGCTGTCAAAAATATTCGTGTGCATAAAATAGAAATCCGTGCGTATTTGGGAAATCCGTGCATATTTGGCTGTAGTTGCGCATAAAATAAATATTTGTAAACTCTTAAATGAGTCCAGTCGTACATAAAATATATTGTGTGTATTTTATCTATCAGAATATGAATTGAAAAATTACGACGTCATGAATTACAATCACGAAATGAAAATTTACGATTACGCTTTCATCAGTACGAATACGAATTCACAGACGGAACTTTACTGTCAAAAATATGTCATCACTTCACAGACATTATCCATCGAGCAGAAGAAACATCGATCAAGATCAAGACTGCGCATGCTCAAGTTTGTAGCAGAGGGTAAAAACAGAGTAATAGCACAAGAAGCTACAACAGCGACCAACAAGTGGGTTCATTAAAATCTATTGTAAAAATGTCTTGAATTCGGGAACCAAACGCTGCTGTATAATATTGTGTAGAAACACCTCCTTTGAACGGGAAATTGCACCTATATGTTAGATAACATAGTGGTAGCCAGTTGGCTAACATCCGACGTAACGTTCTCCCAGGGCTAATTAACAAATATCAGGTTCTCTGTAGGTTTAGATTAAAACATTCATGGCTCCAGCCACAGCGAGCATCAGTCAGTCTTCATCTCAGCTGCATTTCAGACATTGGGTTATACATGAGTTATAATGGGTTATAATTAGCAAATCCATCCACGTCACGGTGACGTTAAACTTACCGGTAAATAATGTATATATACCAAGGTGTTGCCTGTAGACACGAACATTAATTGTTGCTGGAAGCTGCATTAAAGTGTAATGTGGAACATTTCATTAGCTGTGACGTCTGTAACCAGGACAGTTTGGTGTTTGGTGTAAACTGGGACATTTCAGTGTCCCGAGGAACTTTTGGTGGCATTTCATGCGAGAAATGCAGCTGAAGGTTCAGACTGACTGATGCTCGCTGTGGCTGGAGCCGTGAATGTTTTAATCTAAACATACAGAGAACCTGATATTTGCTAATTAGCCCTGAGATAACGTTACGTCTGATGTTTCCAACTGGCTCCACTATGTTTTCTAACATATAGGTGCAAGTTCCCTTTCAAAGGAGGTATTTCTACACAATATTATACAGCAGCGTTCGGTTCCCGAATTCAAGACATTTTTACAATAGATTTGAATTAACCCATTTGTTGGTCGCTGTTGTAGCTTCTTGTGCTATTACTCTGTTTACCCTCTGCTACAAACTTGAGCATGCGCAGTCTTGATCTTGATCGATGTTTCTTCTGCTCGATGGATAATGTCTGTGAAGTGATGACATATTTTTGACAGTAAAGTTCCGTCTGTGAATTCGTATTCGTACTGATGAAAGCGTAATCGTAAATTTTCATTTCGTGATTGTAATTCATGACGTCGTAATTTTTCAATTCATATTCTGATAGATAAAATACACACAATATATTTTATGTACGACTGGACTCATTTAAGAGTTTACAAATATTTATTTTATGCGCAACTACAGCCAAATATGCACGGATTTCCCAAATACGCACGGATTTCTATTTTATGCGCATGAATATTTTTGACAGCTTTCTTACTCCATACTTACCTGTGTGAGGTAGAGTGTGTAGGGAGCTGGAGTCTGGAGGAGGAGGAGACATAAGACCATCCTGGGAGGTAGTGCACAGGGCTGAAGCCCTCCAGCTCCTGTAGTGCCCCAATGAAGGATGCACTGTCTGGTACTGCCATTAAGAAATATCTTCCTCAGATTATTCAGGGGAAATGGTTCCACTAGTAATGATTAGAAATGGTTATTTTCACTTCAAAAACAACTTTCGTTTTGTGTTCGTCTGTTCGTGCCTTTATTTAAATTTAAAGCATTTGTAATCTGGCACTGTTCATATAGTAACAGAGGCAGAGTAGCCAAAAAATGTTCCTGACTCATGGTTTGAAATCAGGTACAGGCCTTTGAGTGGTCCACTTTAAATGTAGGATACAGTTGTGTCCGATGCAGATGGCACAAAAGTGCAGGAGGGCGGGGGCCCCAGGCAGCAGCAGCAGAGCCAAGAGCAGGGCCATCCATGGCAGGAGCCACACAGGGACACATCTGAACACTCTCCTGCTCCTCACCTGAGAACATCACAGACACAGAAATAGAATACAGACTCAGGCCTGGTTGTACAGGGCTGTCAGTCAGGACAGATCTAAGGACAGTCAGTGTTTTTCAGTTTAAAAGTGGAAAATCTATATTTTTTGCAACTTAAAGTCCATATGACTGACTAGACTAGCAATTTCACTTGTTAGTGATTGCTAATTTTAGTGGAATTTATCATTTGAACATTGGCTAAAACCTAAATATTTTGTTAAATTAAGTTTTAAACTCCCAGAAAAACTCTTCCTTGTGCGTAGACTGTCTGCATTTTGGATGGAGTTTTCTCTGTGTTGATGACATAGGCAAAGGCATTCTGTTTTATAAGGCAAGGCTACTTCCTGTATTTGTATACTTTTCTTTTCATCTTTTCTTCACAAACTGTCTTCACTTACCTGATTTAAACCTATGATAAATATTGACCACAGACACTATAACACTAAACCAAGTGAAAATGAGAAAAACACAAAAAACATATGTCATAGTCATACGCACTTTAACTGTATACAGTGTTTTTGGAGCTTTCTCTACTGTTCGGAGTTCATTGGTTATAAACATAGTGTAAAAGGTTAATTTGCAGCTTTGTGGTCTAAAACAGTTTGAATGCTGACATCTTCAGTTAAACTAACTCTACTAAACAGTAAATCTCCAGTAGAGTTATTTTAAATTATGACATCTTCAAATCCTAGAACGTGAACACAACCTATAGTAATTATGGCAACAAGCCTCCATGAACATGCTTCACCTGTCTGCACTGCGCTGTGAAGAGGGCCAGCTGCACTGCTGAGTACCCACACACCCGGCTGGCATCACCCACGCCCACCCAGAGCACCAGACTGTAGGCACAGGGCAGGACAGCCCAGGAGAGTGCGGACAGAGAGAGGAAGGCCACAGTGCCCCAGCGCCGCTCCTGACACGGCCCTACCACCAGGAGGCAGCACAGATTCACCAGCAGAGAGGGGGCATCATCGTGGCTCAGTGCGTACAGGAACACATCTACAAGAAGAAAAGTACACACTCCACAATACAAGTTTGATAACAGTTGGAACAAACGCTATAGCAAATACTGCTAGATCACAACTAGGGCTAAGGTCTAAAGTGAGGCTATACACTTGCTATAAATTCTTAACAAAGACAAATCAAAAGAAGGACAAAAATCTGGATTAAATTGGCCCTATGTTCACCAAAAATTTGATCTGCAGAGGAATCCACATACCCCCAGAGAGAGTTTGCATATCACCAGATACCACAGTTTGAGAACCACTGCTGTACAAAAGAAGTAGTGCTTAGGTTCAAAAGACACTATGGGCACTATTTAGGCACTATTTCCATAGCAACTAACAATGTATAATAAAATATTCTTCTGCATCTTCTGCATGGTCTTCAAAATAGGAATCCACCGATCCAGCCTTTTCAGTTCCGATACTAATGCTGATACTATCTGCCAATTAAGTATCTGCCGAAACTCAATATTACACAATACCATCCCAGAGACTAAAATGAGCATTTGTTTTTTTAAACCAAATGGTAAAAGGTCACATTTTTCTATAGCACTTTTCCACCTTCAAGGCACTCAAATAGCTTTACAACAAGGAACCACTCACCCATTCACACAGACACTGTGGGCAAGGTGGGTTAAGTGTCTTGCCCAAGGACACAACAACAGCATTCATCTGTGGGTCAGTGGATCTGACCACTCAACCCATGATGTTTATGTCAAGACTGCCAACTAAACATAACATGAGACAAAACTGCTGTACAACCTGGTGTAAGTAAAAGTTCAACCATTATGATACTATCTGGACCGACTACCTCCAGCAAATAGTTTTTTGTTTTTTTTTTCATCAAATTATATGTCAAACCAGAATATCAGATCCAACCAGTTATTCAGGATCAGAGCAGATAAGCATCCCTACTTCAAAATGTTGCATGTTTGTGAATTTCAGCAATGTTATGTAAGTTTATGAGGACTTTTCCTACTGAAAAGATAAATGATTCTGTAAGACTCTGATTCTGTAAGACAGGTGAAGTGAACTGATTACAGAGAAGTGTAAAACTTTCAAAAGAGGCAGATGGTTGTGGTTACATCTTTAAAACAATTTAAAGATTTAATTGTAAATGAAACGTGAGAGATCAGAGATTATAATGTGGCTCTGGGAAAACAGATGTGCTTTTGGAACTTATTTCCCTTCACTAGAGGCAGCAAAACAGAAGTGTGCTTCCATCTGAGACACATTAGAACATTAGTGTATGAAATCTAACAGTGAACATGGGGCTTGTGCCATAACTTAGGATCCCCTTCAATAAACATATGTACTTCAACTTTGCCTGAAAATAAAACATGTTGTATTTTGCACTTTAAGAGTAGTGTTCTCAAAAGCCAAGAGTATTATGAGTGTGTGATTTGATCTTACCCCTAAACCTTGGTAGATTCCCTTCTGGTCCCAAACTAAGACTTGCTTGAATACCTCCTGCATGAACTGAGAGCATTACAACAACTAACAAAAATGTGCCCAAAAAGAAACCAGGGCGATTTGAACCAAACCAGCTGCATGTTGTCAAAATGCGAGAGATCATCGCTTGACATTAACTGTAGATTTCCAAAGCTCATATTTAATAAAACAGATTATTCTGATGAGTGAGGTTAAATGTGAGCACCATCCTAGTGTCTACACAGCACAGCCATCTGAGAGAAGCGCAAAGTCTTTACACAGCCTCGAATCTAGTGTGGTGACTTTTAGAAGGAAAAGAAAGTCAGAAACACGTTTACATCGTCCATCCTACATCCAGGGGCAGTTTGTTTGGCTCCTGAGCTGCTTCCGTATTGTGTCACGTGGTTGTGATTTATATGCGCAGTCTCTTAGAAGGCCAAGATAGAACACGGGTTCTGTTGCCGTGGTAAATGTGGCGGCCATCTTGTGAGTGGAGCAAGACCTAAATTCTGATTGAAAATATTCTAAAAACAGCCAGAAAATCCATTTAAGGGTTTAGATGGACACACCGATGTATTCGTGGTCCTAATAATGCAGGAAACGCTACTTATTTTAGGTTAAATATAAAAATTTATATTTACCCTGCTATGGTCTGTAAATGATGCAGAATTAAACTGTTTGTCCATTAATTCACCATATGAAGACAACTATCGGTCAGGATCGGTAGTTGAAAAATACTTTTTTTCATTTTTGGTAGAACTTGGACATTACATGAAATGCAAATATCGAAGTTTTAAAGGTAAAATTATAATAATAATTTTTAAAAAGCCCAGCTCTCTGTTAGTTTGTATGAGTATCTTGAGTAGAATTCTACACTCACAACATGTCTGCTAGAACGACTCTTTCTTTAGTAGAAGTTACCATAGCGACAGTATTTCTAGTTCCTTATTTATATCTCATTATGGATCTCATTGGTCGCTGCTGCTGCCTCGTCTCGCGATACTTCCTCCCGGGCTTCTATCTGTGCCGCGCCGCCGCTTTGTTCAGTCTCTGCGTACGACCACAGCAAAATGGCGTCTGCTCCAGGCAAGTCAAACTTAAGACTTTTCAATGGATATAAGAGCACTGTTGTGTGCTTTTTATAATGGGCCTTCATTTCGACGTTGGCATTACTTTTAACATGATTATTTTGCTGTAAATTAAAGCTACATGGTGTTCCCGGCGTTAGCACTTTAAGCACCGGTCTAGGCCCAAAGCCTCCAGCACCGGGCGTTTACGGTGACGAAGTTTTCTCGGTATTTTTGGATAATCGATAAATATTCTTAGATAGTTACGGTGTTTGCACGTTTTGATTTGTTCTTGGCTTTTATTTCCATTCGTTAATGACCTTTCTAAACATTAGCAGCTGTGAACTGTTGTTGGCCTACAAACGTGCAGTTAGCATAGCAGGACTGGCGCGCAAACCTTCTGTTGTGGCTCTTTTTTAACTGTTGCTGTTTCCTCACAGATTACAGCTCCTACAACCAGGCTGGTGCTCAGCAGGGGTAAGTGAGCCAGCTCAACACCAACGTGACGCTTTCACTTCTTTGAAGATGCACTTTGTAAAACTGTTTGTTTTTCAGATATGCCTCCTACAATGCACAGCCCTCACAAGGCTATGGGCAGTCTGCGCAGGTCAGTACAGCTCGATTTAGTTTTACACCATCACCATGTTGTACTGTGGTTGATGTTGTACTCATGCGCTGTTGTCTCCTCAGCAGGCCTATGGGCAGCAGCAGGGCTACAGCTCCTATGGTCAGCCCGCTGCAGCAGACAGCAGCTACAGCCAGGCCACTCCAGCCGCTGGAGGCTACGCTCAGCAGCAGCAGCAGCCTCAGCAGTATGGCTCTTCATATGGACAAGCTGCTTCAAGTGAGTCTAACATGTCTGTGGGAGCTCTGCTCTGGAGCATTTACTGACCATTGCCTTTGTCTGTGCTCACAGCAGGATACCCTGCAGCTCAGTCTACAACAGCTCATGGCTACTCCCAGTCTGCCCAGGGTTATGGGGCCAGTGGATATGACAGCACTTCTGCTGCTCCAGCTGCTACTCAGTCATACAGTTCTCAGTCTGGTTACTCTGCCCAGTCCACCTACCAGGGCTATGGTCAGCAGTCCGCCCCTGCTGCTCAGCAGAGGTATTTTTGGCAACAAGCATATTAATATTTCCCTGTTTTTCGCAAATTGAATTCTAATTGTGCAGTTACAGCGCCAATGGACAACCTGCCAATTACAACCAGAGCAGTTACTCCCAAACAGCGGCGTACAGCCAACAGCAGCCCGGGTATCAGGCCCAGCAGTCGGGCTATGGGCAGCAACAAGGAGGCTACCAGCAGCCAGCCCAGCAGCAGCAGGCTCCCCCTGCTTACGCCCAACAGAGCGCTGGCTCATATGGACAGCCTCCAGCCAACCAGTACAGCCAACAAGGAGGTCCAGCCAGCTACAACCAGGGCACTACAGTAAGCCTGCTCCCCTCTTCTAGGAAGAAATTAGATTATATGTAGAGATTGATCTATGTAAATGTGCCTTTTCCCTAGACAATTACCGCCAGGATGCACAGGGTGCAGGCTCTGGTTATGCAGGGCCTGATGGTTCCAGGTACCCTGGAGGTGATGGCAGGGGCCCGGGTAGGGATGGGTTTGACCGTGGAGGGATGATGCACAGAGGGCGCGGAGGCCGAGGCATGGGGTAAGTGATGCTCTGGAGTGTTAACCCACATGTTTCCTTCCAGGTCCTGCGGCCAAAGGGCAGGGCTGGGCCAAAACAAGTGCAGAATTTTAACTGATTACTCACCCATGGCTGATTTTGATGGTTTTGGTCAGTCCTGCCCAGTCCGGCCAGAGGTAAGAAGCCTGTGCAATATGAGTAGGTTACAAGGTTTGAGTCTGAAGGTTCTATGATAGGGCATGCACAATGCTGAGAGCTACTTGTAGTTAGGGGTCTGGTTATTCACACAATTTCACTAGTCTAATGGGTCTAATCTTTTGACAGTTTCTGAAGTAGTTTCCAAAATGTCCACATACTCTTTAACTTCACAAATTAAATCAGGTCAGTTATCCATATTTATTTGAAATTTGTCACCACAAAACGTAAACACAGTACATGACGGGAGCAAGAGTGACACAAGTGTTTGGATTCAACCCTTCATTATTTTTTAGCTCTTTTGGAGAATTTTTAAAGTTACACTCTTGGGTAAATATCCATGGTGTGTTTAAGAGTTAAATAACAGTTTTTGTGGAGTATGGAGTATTTTTCTATTTGCCACAATGACGTTGCACAAGTTTTCAAAATGACTGTGACTATGGGTCATTAAAATTGAATATTAGAATGAGTTGGTACCAGATGGCTTTGGAAGGGTTTTGGTTTGTTTGGTGTTACTGAAGTTTGAGCATTGCATGCTCCAGTTCAGCCATTCCATTGAATAGTAATAATACAATACAACAATAATTGGGTATACACTGTTAACCTAAAGGGAAGGACTCCACTATCCCTCACTTTCTGATATTTTCTGAGCTACCGTAGTTTAGAAATTGAGCTGAACAAGTTCCCAGGAAACATTAAATGTTGAATAGCAGAGCCCTGCCCAAGTACTTTAGAATTTTATAACATTATGTCAATGATACACTTTTTGGTAAATGTCCAGTGTCTGACAGAGAGCAAACTTTAGTGTCATCATAGATGGGATTGCTTTCCAACACTCAGACTATGTCTGTTAATTAAATCAATTTTTTATTTATTTTTTTACATTGAGTTGATTTCTCAGCTTGGGTCTTTTTAATCGAGAGGTCTACAGCCAGTCCTCTGTTCAGTTTTTTTCTGTCGAGTAGCAGTATTTAAAAGTCTATTGTTTATGTTCAGGAAATTAATATTGAAAGCCATTTTTGTTTTCAGTCAGCTAAAATTGAATCAGAAACTGCACGTAACCAATTAGATGGAGGGGGAAAAAATGAAGGCATATTGCCCAGCCTAACTTAGCGGTATAGTTTTCTGCTTCTTACAGCTCTTGGACAGCACCACTTTCACCAGCACCCAACATTATATCATATTTGTCTAAGTGGGAGACACACTTGGTCACATGCATAGTACACACATACACTAGAGTCAAACTGAAAAACCTCTAAGGCAGAAGAGTGACTTATTCTAGGGTAAATTCTTTCCATAAAGCTACTTTACACAGCCGAAAGATGGATCATGTGAACAAAGCCGTACTGTGCAGGAAACTGCAGCAGCAGCTAAACTGACATTTGTGATATTGCATCTGATCTGTTCATGTGAAACACAAGTCCAAGTCACTATAGTCATGCAATGTGTTTTGAGGACAACAGTAATGTCTTTATTCACATGACTCCTGGTGTCCAGGTGTAGTTTAGCTAGTGTTGGCACAGGTTTGTTTTGTGGGCATGTTGGGAGGGGTCCTGAATGTGTTTTAATTTTGTTGGTGTTTTGAAATACATTTTTAACATGCTTTGTCACATTTATACCGTACAGGTAACAGTGAGAGCCATTTAAAAGCATCTATTCTCTAAACACTATCTGTACTCAGTGCAGAGGCGCCAGCTTAAGCAGCAAGAGGGAGTAGAGCAAAGAAACGGGGATGCCTTTTTCAAGAACTCTGGAGTTTTTTTTTTTTCATATAAGCATGATGGGTATTATGCTATATGGTTTAATTTGTTCACATCCTGGTAAACTGTAATTGTTACTGGTATTTTAAACAAATGTTAAGGTGAATTATATTAATGTTTCCAATTTTGTACATTTTCTTTTCAACTGTTTTTATAAGTTCCAAACTGTTAAGTGACACTGTTGGGTATAGCTATGCATCTGCAAACCTTGTGCAAAGATGATTGTTTTTCCTTGTTACAATGAGTTGTCTTCTAACTTGTTCTGTTAACATACCAGTTACTATAGATGAGTAGATTCCCCCAGTTTACTTTGGGGAGTTGTTCTGTAAAATATTCCACATGTTTGCATTAACCCCTCAATCAAGCCACTTGCTCGAGCCATGGGGAGTGGCTGTAAAAGAGAATTCGCCTTCATATCTGCATTTATTCCCCTAACAGCGCTGGAGACAGAGGTGGCTTCAGTAAGCCTGGTGGTAAGTTGACGAGTTACACTGGTTAGTGCATTCAAAGCTTTAAACTAATGTGTCCAGTATCTGAGTATTCACTGGTTTTATAAATAATGGGAGTTCATGTTTCAATCCCCATTCACTTTGGGTATCTGGTACCATTCAGCCTGGTATTACGGTCAAGAGAATCTTTGAAGGGTTTTGACAGTTTGTTCTGGTTACGGTGTATTTTTATGCAAATCCTATCAGCCTTTATCTGGGTTTTTGTTTACACATCTTAGATTCAAACACTTGCAAAAGGGTTTGAGGTATTTTAATACAATGATGGTAATAGCAGTGTACCATAACATTTCATTTCAACATTCAAATATGGCTGACAGTATATGAGTGCCTATAAGTGATTTGATAGTGTTCCTCAGGTGTTTAAACATTTTTCTTGGTTCGGTCACTCATTTTTGTCTCATTTGTTCTCTCCTGCGGAACCACAGGACCCATGGGTGGCGATGGAGAGCGTGAGATGGGTATGTCAAATAGTTTCCACTGTTTAATGTTAAAGTTCATAAGTCTTGAGATTGAAATGGATGGACCGTTTTTCAGGCCGTCCTGAGGAGCAGGATGACTCTGAGAACAGCACAATCTATATCAAAGGACTCACTGAGAATGCCACTGTGGACGAGATGGCAGAGTTCTTCAAGCACGTCGGCCCAATCAGGGTAAAGAGGCTGTCTTATGGGCTTCTATGAGATGTTTTTGTTTTGTTTAATTTATTGCATATATCTGTACGTGCAGATGAACCGTCGACTTGGAAAGCCTGCAATTAATCTGTATGAAGACAAAGACACCGGGAAGCCAAAAGGAGATGCCACGCTGTCATATGAGGAGCCAGTCTGTGCAAAGGCAGCAGTGGAGTACTTTGATGGTATGTGCTTTTATATTGATTGACCTTTTCAGAAAAGCATTATGGACCCTTGAGCTCATTCATTGTTCTTTCAGGGAAAGAGTTCCAGGGCAGGAGACTGAACGTGTCTATGGCCCGTCGTAAGCCTACCATGGGAGGGATGAGAGGAGGAATGCCCATGCGCGATGGTATGATGGGCCGAGGAGGTTGGTACATGCAGATAAGTGCGTGTGTGAATAAGAGACGAGGGCATTCTGAACATGAACTTGTCTTCCACAGGTATGATGGGGCGCGGAGACAGAGGGGGGTTCGGCCCACGAGGAGGACCACGTGGAATGGGCCGAGGTGGACCAACCGGAGGCAACATGCAACAGAGGGCTGGAGACTGGGAGTGTCCAAACCCGTATGTCTGCCACTTTACATTATACATGCCAAATACTAGTCTACAGTAGAGCCTGGTGCTCTTGGCTATGGAGCTTTTAAAATGTGCTCATCTCATGGTTAATTCTAAGTGAGATACTTTGGCTTATCATACAAAGACCTTTTCCAACCATGGGGAAGAGCCACATGGAGAACTGATTTTGGTCTGCTCTTTCTTGCAGGGGTTGTGGAAACCAGAACTTTGCCTGGCGCATGGAGTGCAACCAGTGCAAGGCCCCTAAACCAGAAGGTCTTGGTGGAGGTCCTCCATTCCCCCCTGGTGGTGACAGAGGCAGAGGGGGGATGGGCATGCGTGGAGGCAGGGGAATGGATCGCGGAGGCCCAGCTGGAGGAGGACCAGGCGGCCCAGGCTTCCGCGGAGGCTGGGGAGGAGAACGTGGGGGCTTCAGGGGCAGAGGGGGAATGGACCGGGGAGGCTTCAGAGGTCGCGGGGGACCACCCATGGACCGGATGGGTGGCCGCGGAGGCAGAGGGATGGGCCCACCTGGAGGCAAGATGGACATGAGGTAAGGACACTTGTTTAGGGTCAAGTCTGAATTTGTACTGATCAAGTTCCCCAGTGTTTGTGTTTAAGCCATATTCATATTTTGTTTTTCTTTTTCCTTGTATTTTAGGGAGCACCGTCAGGAGCGCAGGGAGCGGCCCTACTGAAGTACTTGTTCCTCTTGAGGAATGATTTTTTTAGACACACTTTTATTTATGATTCCATGTGTCGTGGATAAAGTATCCTGTGAGGTTCATTCACCAACTTTTTTTAGTTTGCCCATGTAAATGCTTCAATCGTGTTTTCTGCATGTGTGTTGTCTTTATTTTTTTAATACTGTTCTCACAACGTACTGTCAAATGCGATATTTTTCATTATAGAACTCTCTCCCCTTTCCCAAGAAATGCTTACTTGTGTGAGAAATTTGGGAAATAAAATTTTACTCAATTGACTCTTGATTCTTGATATTTTTTCACATGATAACGTTTCATGTAGTTCATGCTGGCATTTGGAGTTTGGCCTCTAGAGGGCATCACGTTCTAGGCATAGACTTGGGTCCCCTCCTGTTCTTGAGCAGCAGATGACCTCATCAGCCCCCGTCCCTCCCTCTTTTCAAATCCAAACAGGCGCGCTCCTGTGGCTGGTTCAGGGAGTTCATGAGTTTGATTTAAAACTTCTGGACAGGGCGCCACATTTGGAGTTTTATTCCATCTTAATTATTAGTGGTTTTCAAATTCTAGAATGAGATACTTCCAGATGGGGGTTACAACACAAATCTGCACTTTAACAATAAGAATCTTAGCTGCCCCCATGTGTATTAAATATTACTGTTCTATAGATCAGTATCGTGAGGTCATCTGAAACCATATGAGAGCGCTCCGTTTGTTCCTCTGCCCTCGATCAGAGGCTGTGTGAAGCGTGCAAAAATGGGTGCATTGCAAAAGGAAAACGGCATATATTCTGTTCATGGGCTTAATCTTCGGTTATATGGCGCAGTTTTATGGACTGAAGACTGTTCATTTATTTAAACAAGGACAGTACACAGAAAACATTAAAGTCTGGAAGGTGCTCCCTAAGTCTAAGATTTTACTACAAGCTCCTTTCCATCTTCAGTCCTCGCGCAGGTACAAAATACATTAAAGAAACTCTTTACAATCTAACATTTCATTATTAACCATGTGTTCTTAACATAACCACTATGCAATTCATCATTAAACACTGAAAACAATCCAAATTAATTCATTTTAATTTGCATAAATACAAGATTCCAAATCATTATCTTCTAAAAAAAATCGTCATCAAAATTTAAAATATACATTTACTAAATTCATCAGTTTTATCCTCTTAAAAAACAATTTAAGTCAAACACAACACAATTACATGTACACAATACATGTGTAACACAATCAGTCAGAATGTTTAAATATTTGAAGAATCTTAATGACACGCCTGCCTGCTCCGTATGGCGAGTCTTTACTTTTCCTCCTCCTGAAACCTTCTGAGATTCCTTCACATGGGACGTATGTCCGCCCCTCCCTCCAGCCGTGGGCGTGAGCGCAGTGTGGCTCGGAGCGCACAGGGTTAAGTTGATCCTGATAATGGGATGTGGTGCTCTGAAGCGCAGCAGGTCGGGCACATTCTGCGGAGAGGCGGCGACATGGGCTGAACGTGTCCCAGCGAGCTGCTTTCAGACGCTCGCCATTCAACAATGAAAAGCCGCGGACAGAGCTCGGAAACCGTGACACGTGGATTTTTGTTCTGAACACAAGCATCACTCGGACATAGGGAGGACTAACCGGTCGTCTCGTGCCCTTGGAGCCGATTCTTCCCGTGGGATCTGAAAGTCTCCAGCAATGCGTGCGCTAACGGGGTTGGTACAGACATCCGGCATCCACGCGCAACGGCAGCTCCACATCACAGGCGCAGAGACGAGGCTATGCGGTAAGAAGATCCCCGCCATGGCTACGTCTACGCTGCTGTGTCCTTGCGAGTCGTTCGTGAAGCTCAGGGCTACATAGAGCGATCCCGTTGATACAGACAATATGGCTGATCAGAGCAACATCCAGTCGGCCGCCTCCAAGAGCATCAGGCCGTTTAAGTCCAGCGAGGAGTACCTGTACGCCATGAAGGAGGACCTCGCGGAGTGGCTCAACACGCTGTACGAGCTGGACGTGAGCGCGGACACCTTCATGGAGGGCCTGGAGACGGGCTGCGCGCTCTGTCGGCACGCCAACAACGTCAACCGCGCCGCGCACGACTTCCAGCTGGAATACCCGGAGGCTGCCCGCTCCATGAAGCTGCCTTCCAAGGATGTGGTGTTCCAGTCTAGAAACGTGATTCCCGGATCCTTTTTGGCGAGGGACAACGTGTCCAACTTCATCAGCTGGTGCAGACAGGAGCTCTGGATCAAGGACGTCCTCATGTTTGAAACCAATGACCTGGTGGAGAGGTGCAACGAGAAGAACTTCGTGTTGTGTCTGCTGGAGGTTGCTCGGAGAGGGTCCAAATTCGGGATGTTGGCGCCGATGTTGATCCAGCTGGAGGAGGAGATTGAGGAGGAGATCCGGGACCAGGAGAGTCTGAGGATGGAGGCCGAAGAGCCTGCGGTGGAGAGCCCGAAGAGCATGCCCCTGAGCCGGGTGGAGAGCAACCGGAGTACAGAGGAGCAGGCCGAGCCGGAGCCCTTCGTGTGGCCGCAGAAGAGAGTACTGTGTGACATGAGAAACCTGGACGAACTGGTGAGTGGGCGTCAAGAGCACTAAACACTGTTTGATCTCCACTACGTGTTGTCTAAACTACTTCTTGGCTTGTGGAGATGTTTCTTTGGCTGCAACTTTCTAATGTTAAAACACATTTTCAGTCTCTGGTTCTGGACTGATCTGGGGAGTGCTTTTGTCAGTTCTGATCTGTGGAATTAATCACAACATGTGCATTGGGTGATTAGATTATCCAGTTTGAGTAGTCACATTATCACTCAGTCTCAGGCCAGAAACTTCTTTCCCAGACCACAAAATGATTTGGCATTTCATTGTATCAAACTGGTAAAATCACGGGTAGAAGCCTCATTCTAAACGAGGTCTGAAGCAAAAAGACATAACAGTAATACAATTTAAGTTCATTGTATAAAAATATAGGCTGAGTGGCCTTAGAAGAAGTCTGCTCTGCGTATACTTTCAAAAGTACAATAAGCCTGTTGCTAAAGTGATGCAGTTAGTGAATACATCATTTTGTTACTTAAGTAGTAATATCTGATTAAATATCCACACACTCCGAGTCAGTGTCCTGAGTTTTCCAGTGTCTTCCACAGCGTCTCTCTCTGTAGGATGATCACGCTGTGGCAGTGGAAGCACATGTTTATGTTTGATTCTGAATGTGTAACTCCATATTTAGAATTATATTAATAGGCCTGAAAGATGAATCATGATCAAATCAAAATCTCTGTTTGAATGGCTACAGTGAGTGGATCATGTGGCTGAATACTTGGGCTTCCTGGATAATTTAGCACTTCAGATTCTTCTGTGTTCATTTGCAGGGAAGTGAATAGGGATTTTAAATTATATTCTTAATCTTCCTTAAAAAGTGCCACTTTTTCTTATCTCTAGAATTGACCCTTTTTTAGCTGTTTTTCTCTCTTCTTACTTGCTGCTTTTCTCCTGTACTCGAGTAACCCTCCTGTCACAGGATGTGTCCCTGTGCCTCAGGCTGAATGGAAACCTGCTGCTGCAGTAACATGTGTGAGCAGTGGTCAGACCTGACCCATACCTCAGCAGCCACATGTACAGCACTCCTGTAGAGTGTAGTGACAGGAGGGGGGGGGTTATAGTTGTCTGGGGTGTACTTCAAATGTGTGCTGTGAGCGGATGTTGCAGGAATAACACTCCTGTTATTGATGTGTTGGGTTGAGGAGGGTGATGCTGTGTGAGTGTGGCTTCAGAGAGCTGCTCTTCATAAAGGCCACTGGCTCAGTCTGGCAGCCAGGCTCCCATCTGCCCGCCCCAGGGCAGCTGCCCAAGTGCAAAGTGGTGAATAAATAGACAGGGGCCAAATGTTGCTTTTGAGAAGCTCTTCGAGCTCATAACTGTTATACAAACCCTTTTAGTTTGAGTCTAGAAGTTTAAACTACAGACTTAGCAGGTTTTATAGAGTTTAGGAGGCCAACACCCACATCAAACAGGGTATCTGCATGACTCTGCTGAGGACCTCACATGACCCAGTTAAGTGCAGCTTTGGAGATTTGTATATTAGAGAGAGGCTCATATATCAGGCCAATATTTGCTTTTTTTTGTAGCATTTTGGCTGTTGTTCTTAATGAATATTTAGGCACCTGATTCAGCTTCTGCTGGAGATTTAAGCATGTGCATAAAGCCCGTGTGAACACTTCAGTCCAAAGAGAGTAGTGTAAAAATGTGAGTGCACTGCTCCCTCCTCCAGTGTGGAGTAATTTGGGTGGGTGGGTTTATATTCAATTCAAATTGGATTATTTGGGGAAATGACCAAAATCGGCTCTACATATCAACTGAAAACATCGGCAGACGTCATTGGCCATTGTCTGCTCTGGATTCTAAATATTGTTATCGATATCAGCCATGGAAAAAAGCAAATTTTTATCATCTCTGTGCTGACGGTTAGATGGTTTGACTTGTTCCAGTTACAGATCATCTTTTCTCATTTAACACCTCTCCTGCTTAAAGCCTCATTAGTGTTGCTGTGGAACATCTCTGTCAGATTTGGGGCCCCTCCCAAAGACCCACACGCGCTCCACATGGCCTGCCCAGGGAGCGGGGGAGGACATTTTCACTTCATTTTCATCTTCACACAGTATCACCTTTGTTCTGCAGCTTTTTGTGGAGCTCCTGACCATGTTTCCACGCTGTCTGGTCCTCATATGACTCTGAGAAGCTTCTGGGCAAATAGAAGTGTCCACAGAGTTTGGCTCCAAAACTAAAAGCGCAACTGGATAATATTGCACAGAGCATTTATTTATGAAGCCTGCTCACAAACAAACTTAAAAAAAAAAGTAGATTTTTTTTTTTGTCATTACATATTTTATCAAGTGGCAAATCTATTGTGCTTATGTCTGCTATAGTTGATCTATGACATCTGTGTGAATTTAAATCACAATATTCATCCAAAACGATAAAAACAAGTGCGCTGACTTCTGCGTTAGAAATGGGAGCTGACACTGCAGTAAACATCATCACAACAAAGTGCTGCATGGCACGCTGTCACACTAGCAACCAGATTTTAAAAACATGTACCAAAATGACCACGTGACGTTGCCGAATCCTCAGAAAATAAAAAATGGAGATCACAAGTACGTCGCAGTGGGGTGGACCGGTAACGGTTAAAACAGAGTTACATCGTCTTGAATACAGGAGAATAAAAATGAGTCAAACATGCATGAATCACTTTAAACATAACTGTAGAGGCTAAAGGAGAAGGAAAAAAACTATAACATGACTTCAAGCTCTGAAATTCTATTTTTGCAGAATAGGTCTTAAGACAAGTGAATGAAGGAAGCTTTTAAAACCACTTTTGGGTCAATCCACGCCATTTCATCAAATTTCCAGAAAATCTCACACATCATGATTTTAAAAATTTTGTAAAAATTACCAGCTGGTCCCTTACTATCATGTACCAACCCTGTGAAATTTTAGTGATTTTCTATCATTACTTTTTAAGTTACAGCTCATTTAGTGAGGAGAGGATGTGTCCATTTACAGGCCCAAAATGCACGTCATTTTTTTTCTCGACCATTTTCACAGGTCGATATCTCTGTAAGTATCACACACAAAGGGCAGAAATTTTGTAGACTTGTACTCCTCTACTCTGTGTTCAAATAACATCTATCAGAAGTTTGGTATCTCAACTCAGTGTCATTTTATATCAACTTAAAAATGAAAAAAAAAAAAACTTGTTCATTTCCGTGGCGTAAAATGGGTTACGTGTGAGGGTCCTGTTAAAAACAAGAAAACGCAACATGGTCCAACATGGTGTTCAGTAGAAATTGAATGTTTGTATTGTTTATCTTCAGGAAATGCATTTTTAAAAAACGTTTGTATCTGTTTCAAACTCAGATTGATCAATAATGATGAATAAAAATAGTGATACATTTTTATTTAATTGACCAGCCCCATGCTTTTGTGAGGCTGGTAGAGAAATGGTAATTACAACAGGCACTCTCAACAGCTGTACTGCGTAATATTAAAACACTTGTTGGATTTTCTGTACTAACATGGATTTGCAGCAGGTCGTCAAGATGGATAGATCTGAGGACAGCCATAACAGCTCTGTAAATCCGCGCTCTCTTCAAGGTTAGCCCATAATATCCACTAATGAAGAGCTCCAAGCAGCTGGCTGTGAAACACTCATTATGTTGAGGAGGGCTGTTGTACCTGTAAACACAATCTACCTGTAAGCTCACATCACACTGGCTCTAGTAGATCAAACACTTAAATCTATCGTTTGATCAAAAGAAAAACAAACAATACTTGAGATATTAGTATTCTTGAGCCCAGCCCCCACCTGTGCTCCGGCTCGCCCTGCCCTCCTTGTGTTTACTGTCAATGGAATTATTCAAGAGACTGCCCTTTGCGCTCTGGCTGCTGTGTTGACTGGTTGGCAATTTTTTTTCAATTAAGATTTTGTCATTTTATAATTTCACATTTAAACCAGTGTGTGAGTGTTAACATTTGAGGAAAAAATAGAATATGCAGTGCTGAACTTGTACAAGGATCTCATGCATTTTAGAACATGTTTATAGACGTTTAAACTACAGGGTTAGCAGCGTTTACACAGAACAGGACCCCATAGAGACACGGGGAGAGCTTCTGACACACGGTGAGAGCTTCTGACACGCGGGGAGGGCTTCTGACACACGGGGAGAGCTTCTGACACGCGGGGAGGGCTTCTGACACACGGTGAGCTTCTGACACACGGTGAGAGCTTCTGACACACGGTGAGAGCTTCTGACACGCGGGGAGGGCTTCTGACACGCGGGGAGGGCTTCTGACACGCAGGGAGGGCTTCTGACACGCAGGGAGGGCTTCTGACACACGTGGAGAGCTTCTGACACACGGTGAGGGCTTCTGACACGCAGGGAGGGCTTCTGACACGCAGGGAGGGCTTCTGACACACGTGGAGGGCTTCTGACACGCAGGGAGGGCTTCTGACTGACACACGTGGAGAGCTTCTGACACGCAGGGAGGGCTTCTGACACGCAGGGAGGGCTTCTGACACACGTGGAGAGCTTCTGACACACGGTGAGGGCTTCTGACACGCGGGGAGGGCTTCTGACACGCGGGGAGGGCTTCTGACACACGGCGAGGGCTTCTGACACGCGGCGAGGGCTTCTGACACGCGGGGAGGGCTTCTGACACGCGGGGAGGGCTTCTGACACACGGCGAGGGCTTCTGACACGCGGGGAGGGCTTCTGACGGCTTCTGACACGGGGTGAGCTTCTGACACAGGGGGAGAGCTTCTGATGGCTTCTGACACACGGGGACGGTTTCTGACACACACGGGGACGACTTCTGACACACACGGGGACGGTTTCTGACACACACGGGGACGACTTCTGACACACACAGGGATGGCTTCTGACAGTTTCTGACACACGGGGACGGCTTCTGACAGTTTCTGACACGGGGAGGGCTTCTGACACACGGGGAGGGCTTCTGACACACAGACATTTCAGAACATGTTGGTAGAGGTCTAAACTACAGGGCTAGTTGCTTTT